TCAGGTGAAAAGGAGGAACCCAGACCCAGACCAGTGGTCATTCCGTATGTTGAGGGGGTATCAGAGAAACTGAGACGTTTATTTTCTAAACATAACGTCCCAGTGGCTTTTAAACCCCAAAATACATTACGGCAAAGACTGGTTCATCCCAAAGATCCAGTCCCCCGGCACAAACAGAGTAATGTTGTGTATGCTGTTCAGTGTCAGGAGGGCTGTGATCAGTCTTACATCGGGGAAACAAAACAGCCACTGGCCAAAAGGATGGCCCAGCACAGAAGATCAACATCATCAGGCCAGGACTCTGCGGTCTACACTCATCTCCAGGCCAGCGGTCACTCTTTCAGGGATGAAGATGTTCACATCCTGGACAGAGAGGAACAATGGTTTGAGAGAGGAGTAAAGGAGGCCATCTTTGTGAAAAGAAATCATCCATCATTAAACAGGGGTGGAGGCCTCCGGGTTCAACTGCCCCCCTCTTACAATGCTGTGATTGCTAGTATCACTCAGCCCTCTGTGAGCAGTAAACAGCCATCAGTGTGCTAATGACCCATTGTTAGGCTGATGGTCCTTCTTGAGCATGTGATCAGCTGGTTTTGGTTGTCAGCAGCAAACTGGTTGATCCACTCTAAGAAGGTGCTATTTAAGAGACTGAGCTGAAAACAGCACCTCAGACTGAGGAAGTCTCTTGGATGAGAGAAGAAACGTTTCTACATTTTTTTGCTTTGTTTTGCTTTTGTTTTTTTGAATGGCCAGAGGAACAGATTGAACTTTTTGGGATTGGTACTATATCTTTCTAAACAAAATTCTCCCCCTTTCAGTCAGAAAAATATTAGGGTTAAATGTAGTAACTAGTAGTCAGCATTTGCAAATGAATGTTCCATAAAAGTTTACAGTCAAGTGAGAGTTTAAAGTCAGTGTTGCTCTTCTTAAAGGGCAAAAATCAGGAGTTTTGAGTGAGATTTATGGAAATGTTATGAACAATAGTCTTACATTTTGTAGAAAGTATCCTGATGCATGCTCAATAATCCAGTCTGGTCCTCTGGACATTCAAAAAACAAAACAAAACAAACAAAAAAAGAAAAGTAGAAACGTTTAGTCTTTCATCCAAAATACTTCTTCAGTCTGAGGTGCTGTATTCAGCTTAATCTTATAAATAGCACCTTCTCATAGTGGATCAGCCAGTTTACTGCTGACAGCCAAAACCAGTTGCTCGCATGATCAAGGAGGACCATCAGCCTAAATATGGATCATTAGCACCCTGATGGCTGTTTGCTATTCACAGGGGGCTGAGTGATACTAGCAATAAAAGCATTGTAAAAGGGGGACAGTTGAACCCGGAGGCCTCCACCTCTGTTGGACAGTTTCTTTTCACAAAGATGGCCTCCTTTACTCCTCTCTCAAACCATCATTCCTCTCTATCCAGGATGTGAACATCTTCATCCCTGAAAGAGTGACCGCTGGCCTGGAGATGAGTGTAGACTGCAGAGTCCTGGCCTGATGATGTTGCTCTTCTGTGCTGGGCCATCTTTAGTTCTTTCTTGTCTTTAGTTTCCCCAATGTAAGACTGATCACAGCCCTCTTGACACTGAACAGCATACACAATATTACTCTGTGCTGGGGGACTGGATCTTTGGGATGAACCAGTTTTTGCCGTAATGTATTTTGGGGTTTAAAAGCCACTGGGACGTTATGTTTAGAAAATAAATGTCTCAGTTTCTCTGATACTCCTGCAGCATACGGAATGACCACTGGTCTGGGTTCCTCCTTTTCACCTGATGGCTGGCTGGAGTCCTGTTTGGGTTTCATCTCTGCTTTCAGAGAGGCCCAATTATGATATCCACATTTCTCTAGAGCCTGTCTTGTGTGGGATTTCTCCTTCTGCCTGGCTTCTGAGATAGTGGGGACGCTGTCTGTTCTGTGGTACATAGTCCTGATGACTCCCAACTTGTGCTCCAAAGGGTGATGGGAGTCAAACTTCAAATATTGGTCTGTGTGGGTGGGTTTGCAGTAGACCTCAGTTTGCAAATGTCCTCTATCAGAAACTGAAACCTCACAGTCCATGAAAGCCAACCTGCCATTTTTTACATCTTCTCGTGTGAACTTGGTGTATTTATCCACAGAGTTGATGTGATCAGTGAAATGTTGAACTTCCTGAGATTTAATTTTAACCCAGGTGTTATCAACATACCTGAACCAATGACTTGGTGGTGTCCCTGAAAAGGACACCAAGGCTCTCTTCTCTACCTCCTCCATGTACAGGTTGTCAACAATAGGAGAAACTGGAGACCCCATAGCACACCCATGTTTCTGCCCATAATATTGGCCCCCCATTTGTTAAGTAGGTTGACTGTAGGCACAGTTTCAAGAGTTGACACAGCTGCTCTGTGGAAAGTGTGGTCCTGCTGATCAGAGTGGTGTCTAATTTTAACTTAAACAGACCACTTCTACTGCCTTATCAACAGGAATGCACGTAAAGAGTGATGTGACATCAAAATAGACCATTGTTTCAGTCTCCATGATGACATCCCTCACCTTATCCACAAAGTCCATGGTGTTCTGTATGTTGTGTTTTAAGCTGCCTACTAAAGGGATGAGTGCAGACGCCAGAAACTTGGAAATGTAAGTGACAGAGTTAATTGTGTTAACAATTGGTCTTAAAGGAACACCTTGTTTGTGAATTTTTGGTAAACCATAGGGACACCACCAAGTCATTGGTTCAAGTATGTTGATGACACCTGGGTTAAAATTAAATCTCAGGAAGTCAAACATTTTACTGACCACATCAACTCTGTGGATAAATACATCAAGTTCACACGAGAAGATGTAAAAAAATGGCAGGTTGGCTTTCTTGGACTGTGAGGTCTCAGTCTCTGATAGAGGACATTTGCAAACTGAGGTGTACCGCAAACCCACCCACACAGACCAGTATTTGCAGTTTGACTCCCATCACCCTTTGGAGCACAAGTTAGGAGTCATCAGGACTCTGTACCACAGAACAGACAGCATCCCCACTAACTTAGGAGCCAGGCAGAAGGAGAAATCCCACACAAGACAGACTCTAGAGAAATGTGCATATCCTATCTGGGCCTTCCTGAAAGCAGAGAAGAAACCCAAACAGGACTCCAGCCAGCCATCACGTGAAAAGGAGAAACTCAGACCAGTGGTCATTCCGTATGTTGCAGGAGTATCAGAGAAACTGAGACGTTTATTTTCTAAACATAACGTCCCAGTGGCTTTTAAACCCCAAAATACATTACGGCAAAGACTGGTTCATCCCAAAGATCCAGTCCCCCGGCACAAACAGAGTAATGTTGTGTATGCTGTTCAGAGTCAGGAGGGCTGTGATCAGTCTTACATCGGGGAAACTAAACAGCCACTGGCCAAAAGGACGGCCCAGCACAGAAGAGCAACATCATCAGGCCAGGACTCTGCGGTCAACACTCATCTCCAGGCCAGCGGTCACTCATTCAAGAATGATGATGTTCACATCCTGGATAGAGAGGAACAATGGTTTGAGAGAGGAGTAAAGGAGGCCATCTTTGTGAAAAGAAACCGTCCATTATTAAATGGGGGCGGAGGCCTCCCATGTTCATCTGTCCCCCTCTTACAATGATGTTATTACAAGTATCACTCAGCCATCAGGGTGCTAATGATCCATTGTTAGGCTGATGGTCCTCCTTGATCATGTGAGCAGTCAGCAGGAAACGAGTTGATCCACTATGAGAATGTGCTATTTATAAGACTGAGCTGAATACAGCACCTCAGACTGAAGACGTCTTTCGGATGAAAGACGAAACGTTTCTACTTTTTTTTTTTTTTTTTTTTTTTTTTTTTTGAATGTCATGAGTACTCAAGGCCAGCCAAGTGTAATAGGGATCGCTCCAATCTTAAATCATCTAAAATTGCAACGTCACAACCGTTCATGTGGATACTTATTTAACAACTACAATTCTAGATTATTTGCAAACCTAAAAAGCTGCATTAGCAGTTAGCAATAGCACTCGCTGGGCCACTTCCAAACATAAATATCATAACAGCTCTGCAATAATACAATTTAGTGAAAAACTGCCATTGATTTGAAGGTTTGTAAAAAAAAAAATAATAATAATTAATAAGAACACAAAGTTTGTTTTCTCAGTCATCCAGGTATATAACAACAAAAAAGGTTGAATCATGTCATCTGGACTTCGTTTTTTT